TCACCGCTGCCTGCTCCTTCTCCTTACACTGAGCAGACTGGTAGTCCTGCTGAGCGTCGTGAGCCTGCGTCGCGTCCTGTTTCGCCTGTTCGTCCTGGTCGTACCGGTCGTCGTGTTCCTCGTTCGCGTCAGCCGGCTGTCCCCAGCGCACACCTCGTAGTCCGTCGTCCTTCCTCTGCTCCGCAGCCTGTTCCTCTGCCGTCTCCTCCTGCGTCCTCTTTGCCTGATGTTCCGGACCCTGCGTCTGACCAGTTTCGTGCTGAGCACCCTACTGTCACGCGTCTACTAGCCACTGTTGTCACTGACCCGTCGTTTGAGTCTACTGCTGCGTCTGCTCTTGTCGCTGAGCTTGTTGACTTTGCTGCTGCCTGTCGTCTAGACTTCGCTACCAGTCTTGTTGCTGAGTCTGAGTCTGTCTGTCCTCCGTCCGTCGGGGGTGAGTGTGCTCTTAGCACGGACGTCCTTGAGGACAGGCACGAGGACCTTGAGTGTCTTGCAGCCGCTGCGCCTCATCTCGTTGCCATGCTGCTTGCCCCTGAGGGAGACCCGGATGCACCAAACATCCCGACCCCGCGCTCTTACGCTGAGGCGATCGCGGGTGAGTACTCCTCTCAGTGGCAGACAGCCATGGACGCAGAGATGGCATCCTGGAAGTCCACTGGCACTTACGTCGACGAGGTTCCCCCTCCTGGGGCGAACATCGTCAGTGGCATGTGGATTTTCAGGGTGAAGCGGCCGCCAGGTTCTCCGCCTGTCTTCAAGGCTCGTTACGTTGCTCGAGGCTTCAGTCAGCGAGAGGGAGTAGACTTCTTCCAGACCTTCTCCCCCACCCCGAAGATGACCACTCTTCGGGTGCTGCTGCACGTTGCTGCTCACCGTGACTACGAGCTTCACTCTCTTGACTTCAGCACAGCTTTCTTGCAGGGCAGCCTGCACGAGGAGATCTGGCTGCGCCGCCCCCCGAGCTTCATCGGGTCGTTCCCTCCTGGTACCCAGTGGAGCCTCCGGCGGCCGGTCTACGGTCTCCGCCAGGCGCCACGTGAGTGGCACGACACACTGAGGACTACGCTTGCGGCTCTTGGGTTCGCGCCTTCTACAGCTGACCCGTCGCTATTTCTGCGCACCGACACTTCACTGCCGCCATTCTACATCCTTGTGTACGTCGACGACTTGGTCTTTGCCACTGCTGACACTGAGGCTCTCGCCCACGTGAAGTCGGAGCTGCAGAAGAGACACACGTGCACAGACTTGGGTGAGCTGCGTAGCTACCTTGGCTTGCAGATCACCCGGGACAGAGCACGCCGCACCATCACCTTGACTCAGTCACACATGGTGCAGCAGGTCCTTCAGCGCTTCGGCTTCACCTGGTCTTCAGCACAGGCCACTCCTCTGGCTACAGGTCACACGCTCTCAGCTCCACCTTCGGACGAGTCCGTAGAGCCGAGTGGTCCTTACCCAGAGCTAGTCGGCTGCCTCATGTACCTGATGACTTGCACTCGACCTGACCTCGCGTACCCTCTTGGTCTTCTGGCTCGCTACGTGGCTCCTGGTCGGCACCGACCTGAGCACATGGCTGCTGCTAAGAGGGTACTGCGCTACTTGTGCAGCACATCAGGCATGGGGCTAGTGCTTGGAGGGACGAGCCCAGTTGTCCTCACTGGACACTCAGACGCTTCTTGGGTTGACGACCAGGCTACTCAGCGGTCGTCACAGAGTTACACCTTCAGCCTTGGCTCTGGTTCAGTTTCGTTGCTTTCTACACGTTCGTCTTCAGTTCTCAGCTCCAGTTGTGAGGCTGAGATCTACGCCACAGCCATGGCTGCACAGGAGTTACGCTGGCTCACCTACCTGCTGACTGACTTGGGAGAGCAGCCTCGTTCTCCTCCAGTGCTGTACGTCGACAACAAGGCCGCCATTGCCTTGTGTGAGGAGCACAGACTGGAGCACAGAACGAAGCACATTGCTCTGCGTTACTTCCTGGCTCGAGAGTTGCAGCAGCGAGGCCAGCTTCGTCTTCGCCACGTGGCCACTCGGGCCAACACTGCTGATATATTCACCAAGGCACTTCCGTCTGGTGATCATCAGCGCTTTTGTACTCTGTTGGGCCTTGTGCCTACGTTTCCACACTTGCTATAGTCTCTGCTTGTACTGTGATCTATATATATACCTGCATGCTGGCTCTTGCTAGGTAGCCATCACTGTACTGTTATTGCTGCATATATATCTCTGCATGTGAACTGGCCCTGTGGCCTTTTGCTTGTGCTCGGAATGCGTGGTGACGTTGTGATCCACCCTGAGCTTGTTTTGCTTCTCTTGACTGGTCGTGTGACCCCTTGTTCTCCCCCACTTTGCCTATGGGGGTGTGTCAAACTATATGTGCTGCATATTGTCTAGGCTGTAGTGGGGTAGCCCATATGGGGTACAACCCAATTAGGGTTTACTACTTGTACTCCTGCATCCTGTTAGTTCATCCATTCCTGCTGCTAGATTCTGACATATTGAGCCGTTTCGCATGGTGATGCACAATACGACTATTGATTCTACCATGCATGGATTGGCCTGGGCGCAACATGTCAGATTGTAAACGTATGGAAGCCTTTATTACCACTGATTGCCAAGCCTCTACCATCCTACATCCAATTTTCAAGCCATATGAAGTGGTTTCAGCACGTTCGCACAACTACGCTGATCTCGGCGCATATTTGTGCGTTCCCTAGTGAATCTGTGCAAGGATCAACCTATGTGCATCGTGTTAAATCGCCTATGTATGGAAGTCTTTTGTCCTGCAATTATCAGATAGCACCCTTGTACATCCCAGTACCTAGCCATATGAACTGGTTTGATAATGTCTGCAGGTCTATTCAGCAAATGGCGCACGTTTGTCTTGTGTTCATTGTGAATCTGTGCCATGAAAGGCCTGTGCGCAACATGTCAGTTCGCCAACGTCTGGGTGCATTTTTTAGCACTATTTGCTCACATCGATCCCTTGTAATCGTCATTCAGTAGCCGTAGAAACTGGTTGGACCTCGTTCGCACAACTACACAGCACGTGGCGCATGTGTATGCTTTTGCGGGCCGGAAACAGTGCATGGATAGGCCTGTACGCAACATGACGCTGTTTCAACATCCAGGTGTTGTCTTTACCTCTATTAATTCGCACGGATCCCTAGAACATCATTTTCCCAAGCCATGGGAACTGGTTTGACCTCGTTCGCACAACTACGCAGCACGTGGCGCTTGTTTGTGCGTTTGCTGGGCTGAATCTGTGCAAGGATAGGCCTGTGCGCAACATGTCAGCTCGCCAACCTCTGCCGGCCTTTTTTACCACTATTTCTTCACAAACTTCCCTAGTCCATCCTATTCCCAAGCCATAGGAACTGGATTGAGCTCGTTCGGACAACAACACAACATGTGACGCATGTTTGTGCGTTCATTGACGAATTAGTGCAAGGATAGGCCTGTCCGCATCCTGTTACCGTTTCAACGTCTGGATGTTTATTATACCTCTATTCCATCACACAGTTCCCTAGTACATCCTAATGTCTAGCCATTGGAAGTAGTTTGACCTCGTTCGCACTAGTACGCGGCACGTGGCGCTTGTTTGTGCATTTGCTGGCCTGAACCTGTGCGAGGATAGGCCTGTGCGTAACATGTTTCTGTTTCAATGTGTGAATGTTGTTTTTACCTCTATTTCTTCACACCGTTCCCAAGTACATCCTATGTCCTACGCACAGGAAGTGGTCTGACCTCGTTCGAACAACTGTGCAGCACGTGGCGCTTGTTTGTGCATTCGCTGGCCTAAAACTGTGCAAGGATAAGCCTTTGCGCCACATGTTACTGTTCACACGTCTCGATGATGTATTTACCTCTTTTTGTTCACACAATTCCCCAGTAAATCCTTCTTCCAACCCGTAGGAAGTGGTTTGACCTTGTTCGCACAAGTACGCAGCACGTGACGCTTGTTTGTGCATTTGCTGGCCTGAAACTGTGCAAGGATAGGCCTGTGCGCCACATGTTACTGTTTTAACGTCTGTATGTTGTTTTTACCTCTTTTGGGTCACACAATTCCCAAGTACATCCTACTGCCAACCCATAAGAAGTAGTTTGACCTTGTTCGCACAAGTACGCAGCACGTTGCGCTTGTTTGTGCACTTTCTGGCCTGAAACAGTGCAAGGATAGTGCAGTGCGCAACATGTTTCTTCGCCAACATCTGGATGCATTTTTTACCACTATTTCTTCACACAATTCGCTACTACATCCTGTTACCTAGCCATAGGAACTGATTTCATCTCGGTAGCTCAACCACGCAGCTCGCTGCGCAAGCTTTTGCGTTTGCTGGGCTGAATCTGTGCAAGGATAGTGCAGTGCGCAACATGTCACTTCCCCAACATCTGGATGCCTTTTTTTCCGTTATTTCTTCACACAATTCTCTACTACATCCTGTTACCTAGCCATAGGAACTGATTTTGATAATTGGACAATCAGGTATCTGGTGTTACTGCACTGTTACAGTTCTTGTTACCAGGTAACGAAAACAAATACTAAACTCTACGATAACCGTCACAAACATTATATGTTTACACTCTACCGAAGTGTATTTAATGTTCCTGTAACCAAGTGGTAACAGATGCTAACGAAGAATTTTCGTTTTGGCAGATTGACGATCGTAAACTATCGTTTGAGTTCCGTGACCTCCCCCATCTCGCCATGAGTTTCGGGCGGTGTGGATCGCGGTTGGCTCCTCAGCTCCTGTATCGCTCAAATCTCGCCATTCGCGAACCATCGTATACTACCTTTCGAACCCAATCAACCACAGATCACGCTCGACACTGTAGCTGAACAACCAGTCGTATATGCTGCTTCGGATCCCCCTCCGTTTTCGATCACAAAGCGCAATACCCATAGTGGTTTATTGCCCTCACCCTAAATTACAGTCAGCACAGCACAAACGAGGCATAGGAGGGCGTTTACCACCTAAAACGCACCCTACATTTTTCTGATGTCCTTTCCGCCCCTGCTTCCCCTCCTTTCCGCCCCTGCTTCCCCTCCTTTCCGCCCCTGCTTCCCCTCCTTTCCGCCCCTGCTTCCCCTCCTTTCCACCCCTGCTTCCCCTCCTTCCCGCCCCTGCTTCCCCTCCTTTCCGCCCCTGCTTCCCCTCCTTTCCGCCCCTGGCTCCCCTCCTTTCCGCCCCTGCTTCCCCTCCTTTCCGCCCCTGCTTCCCCTCCTTTCCGCCCCTGCTTCCCCTCCTTTCCGCCCCTGCTTCCCCTCCTTTCCGCCCCTGCTTCCCCTCCTTTCCGCCCCTGCTTCCCCTCCTTTCCGCCCCTGCTTCCCCTCCTTTCCGCCCCTGCTTCCCCTCCTTTCCGCCCCTGCTTCCCCTCCTTTCGGCCCCTGCTTCCCCTCCTTTCCGCCCCTGCTTCCCCTCCTTTCCGCCCCTGCTTCCCCTCCTTTCCGCCCCTGCTTCCCCTCCTTTCCGCCCCTGCTTCCCCTCCTTTCCGCCCCTGCTTCCCCTCCTTTCCGCCCCTGCTTCCCCTCCTTTCCGCCCCTGCTTCCCCTCCTTTCCGCTCTCTCCTTCCCCTAATTTCTCCCTCTCATTTCCTTCATTTTCCTCCGCTGCTTTCCCTGTTCCTCTCCACCCCATTACGGCCTCCCCTCCCTCTCCTCCCTCGGCCAATCTCCTCCCTTCCCTCTCCTCCCTCCTCCATTCTCCTCATCTCTCTCTCCCCCCTCATCCAATCTCCTCCCTTCCCTCTCCCATCTTCCCTATCCTCCCATATCCTTCTCTCCCTTTTTCTCCTCCTCCCCCTTTTCCTATCTCCTCCTCTTCCTCCTCTTCCGATCTCCTCCTACTTTTCCCCCTGCTATACTCTTGTCCACCCCCCGCTAGCCCCTTGCTTCCCCCCTGCTAGCCCCGTATTTCTTTCCTGCTAGGCCCTTGTTCTCTCCCTCGTCCAATCTCCTCCCTTGCTCCCTATCTCTCTTTCGCACCTCCTCCTTTCCTCTCTGTCCTGCCTTTCCGCCCTTGATTCCCCTAATTTCCTCCATTGATTCCCCTAATTTCCTCCCTTGATTCCCCTAATTTCCTCACTTGATTCCCCTAATTTCCTCCCTTGATTCCCCTAATTTCCGCCCTTGATTCCCCTCGTTTCCCCCCCTGCGTCCCCTCATTTCCCCCTTGCTGTTCATTATGGTACACCCTTGCTTACCCTTCCTTTCCCCTGTGCTAGCCTTCCTCCCCCCTGCTCACCCTTCCTTCCACTCCAGCTTACCCTCTGTTTCTACTCTCCTTACTGTTTTTTTTTCTCGAAAGCACCACAACGGACATCCAGCCCTTTTGTTCTTGAGTGGGGCTCTTTGCAGCTTGGTGGAACCAAGGACCAGTTTACATTTGTACCGGCTTGTGTGTGGCATTAGTGTATCAATCAAACGATCTGATAGCATATTACTACAGTTGATCCAAGATTTCCAGCGCATGCAGTAGCTTTGATGACGCAGATAATATCTGTAACTTGCAAACCTTACATCTATAGATGAAGCAAAGTTACATGATGCAACTGGGCACAGCACTGAGGTATGCAACTTGTCTGAGCTGTTGCTCCCTTTACGCTGCCAAACTCATCTGAGCCCGAACTAGTCCTTCTTGAAGTGGAAACAAAGGGATGAGCGATGGGTGGAAAGGTGGGGAGGCAGGAAAGGGAGATGGGGAGGCGGGAAGGAGAGGTGGTGGGGCAGGAAGAGAGGGGAAGACGGTAGGTGTGGATATGATAAGTGCGAGGAAGAATGGGAGTGAAAGGGCAGGAAAGAGGGTGTTTGGTTGTGCAGGAAAAGAGGTAAACAAAGGAAGCATGGAGAGTGTGAGGCGTGGGCTTGGGAAGCAGGGACCATGCGTCCAAGGGAATCAGCAGCCCTCCATTCACCTACCCACCAGAGTACGAAAGAGGGAGAGAGGGAAAGATGGAGAGAGGGGGATAGGGAGCGAGGCAGAGAGGGAGAGAGGTGGAGAGGGGGAGAGGGAGGGAGGGAGCGATGGAGGGAGGGAGAGAGTCAGAGAGGGAGAGATGAAGAAATGGTGACGGTTTAGGAGGGAGAGAGGGAGAGATGGCGAGAGGGGGAGATGAAGAGAGGGAGCTATGGAGGGAGACACACAATGAGAGAAAGAGAGAGAAGGATAGTCGGTGTTAGTGTGCGAGCAAGAGGGACGGATCAGGGGAGGGAGGGTGGAGATGATGGGAGGAAGAGAAGATTGGGTCGTAGGATCATGGTCTGTGGTGGGTAGGAGGTTATGTTAGGAAAATGCAGGCGTGGGGAAAGTGTTCAGGAGTGACAATAGGAAAACAGGGAACAAGAGGTATTGGGGATGCTGGAAAGAACGGGAGCGGGTTGCAGGAAGGAGGGAGGGGGGAAAAGGGGCAGTATGACAGAGGCAGGCAGGGCAACGAGGGGAATGGATGAGTGCGACTAACAACGCAAGATTGCTCGCCCCGGTCTTGCGTCATCGCAACACAAACAACCCCCTCTCCACCCCTGAGGGGTTTGCACCTTATCTCACCCTCCCCCTCTGTCTCTCCCTCTCTGCCCCTCCCCTCTGTCTCTCCCTCTCTGCCCCTCCCCCTTGCACTCACCATGACACCAAGGCAACGAAGAAGCCAGCACACCATGACACCATGCACTCACTGCTATGGAACCTGGTGAGGGTAGAGGGGAGGCATGGGTATGGGGGGAGCATTGGCGTGCACATGGGGTAGAAGAGGTTGGCGCAGGCGAGCACAGACGTGTTGAGCGTGGCAAGGATGCCCGCCTTGCCCACCGACACGGTCTGCTTCTCCATGTCCTGATGAGGGGGAGGTGGTTCATGTTCAAGGGTGGGGGAGAGGATTGGCACAGAGACAACAGATCACAGGATATCAAATCAGCTAAAAACACCCCATACTGAATTGAGGTACATCATGCATGATGCAGCACACCCCTTGCACTGCCCATCCACCTTCCACGCCACAGGGTGCTGTGCGGCGCCTGTTGAAATGTCTCAAGGAGCAGAACCTACCCATCCGTACCTGCTGTGGTGAGAAGTAGGCAGCATCCTGGTTGGCATCGTCAGCATCACCAGATGCTAAAAGCGACTGCTGAGCTGCCCCCTTGTTGTGCGTCCGTCCCCCCTCTTAGTTGCAAATGTACATGGGGAGGGAGAGGAGAGGTACATGGGGAGGGAGAGGAGAGGTACATGGGGAGGGAGAGGAAAGATGGTGAGATCGAGGTAGAGGGGTGGCATATGGGGAGTGCAAAGGCTCACTTGGTGCGTGACGCGCACCTCTATGAGGGTGGGGGTATGCAGGGCGGAGGTGGGGGGAAGCAGGGCAGAGGGAGGGGGGAAGCAGGGCGAAGGGAGGGGTGAAGCAGGGCGAATTGAGGGGTGAAGTAGGGCGAAGGGAGGGGGGAAGCAGGGCATAGGGAGGGGGGAATCAGGGAGGAGGGAGGGGAGAAGCAGGGCGGAGGGAGGGGGGAAGCAGGGAGGAAGGAGGGGGGAAGCAGGGAGGAGGGAGGGGGGAAGATGGAGGAGGGAGGGGGGAAGGGGAGGGAGGAGGGAGGGGGGAAGCAGGGCGGAGGGAGGGGGGAAGCAGGGAGGAGGGAGGGGGGAAGCAGGGAGGAGGGAGGGGGAGGGAGGGGGAGGGGGGAAGCAGGGAGGAGGGAGGGGGGAAGCAGGGAGGAGGGAGGGGGGAAGCAGGGAGGAGGGAGGGGGGAAGCAGGGAGGAGGGAGGGGGGAAGCAGGGAGGAGGGAGGGGGGAAGCAGGGCGGAGGGAGGGGGGAAGCAGGGAGGAAGGAGGGGGGAAGCAGGGAGGAGGGAGGGGGGAAGAGGGAGGAGGGAGGGGGAATCAGGGAGGAGGGATGGGGGAAGCAGGGCGGAGGGAGGGGGGAAGCAGGGAGGAGGGAGTGGGGAAGCAGGGAGGAGGGAGGGGGGAAGCAGGGAGGAGGGAGGGGGGAAGCAGGGCGGAGGGAGGGGGGAAGCAGGGAGGAGGGAGGGGGGAAGCAGGGAGGAGGGAGGGGGGAAGGAGGGCGGAGGGAGGGGGAAAGCAGGGAGGAGGGAGGGGGGAAGCAGGGAGGAGGGAGGGGGGAAGCAGGGCATAGGGAGGGGGGAAGCAGGGAGGAAGGAGGGGGGAAGCAGGGAGGAGGGGGGGGGAAGCAGGGAGGAGGGAGGGGGGAAGCAGGGCGGAGGGAGGGGGGAAGCAGGGGAGGGGGGAAGCAGGGAGGAGGGAGGGGGGAAGCAGGGAGGAGGGAGGGGGGAAGCAGGGAGGAGGGAGGGGGGAAGCAGGGAGGAGGGAGGGGGCAAGCAGGGAGGAGGGAGGGGGAAGCAGGGAGGAGGGAGGGGGGAAGCAGGGAGGAGGGAGGGGGGAAGCAAGGAGGAGGGAGGGGGGAAGCAGCAGGGAGGAGGGAGGGGAGAAGCAGGTGAGGCAAATCCTCTCTTAATTTGCGGGGTGAACAGAGTTGGTGGGAGTAAGGGAGGTTGGGCGAATAAAGAGGGGTGTAAACACTTGATGGAAATTGAGGTTGATGGGGTGAGGGTGTGAGGGAAGAACCTGGTCTCACCCTTCGTCTCCCACTTGCTGCCCTCCCCCCTCTGTTCCTCCCCCTCCATCCTTCGCCTTCTGTCTCTCCCCCTCGGCCCTTCACGAGGGGAAGCGCGCGTGACCAGGGAGGATAGCGCGTAACGAGGGGAGACGCGCGCATCCCAAAAATGATGGGAAGCTAAACCTACTGCGAAGCTATTTCGTAGTTACTTTGTGGTTGGTGTCCAGACTTCAGCGTTCTGGTTACTAGCGAACATACTTAAATCATGCGATGTGAGGGTTGGGGCCTCCCGAACGTAAACATGCTGCAAAGTTACTTACAGGTCGGAACGAATGTGAGATCGGCGAAATGCCCGACACTTCTGGTTGCACACGAGAACCGGTAACACCGCACGTACGAACTGTATGTCAGCTATGATTTGCTCCTGACTTGGGGAAAGGGCCATTGCGAAGGTTTTCATTGGTCGAAATCAAAGCAAGGTTGATTGCAGCGTCGAATTGAAACACAACGCGCGTCGAAGTGTCAGATGCCATTTGAACTGTTTTTAAAGCGATCCAGTACCCGAATTCGAATGTATACAGTGAAATCCCGACATTTGATAAAACATAACTCATCAATGAAACGTTGCAATACGACATGGTAACCCAGTAACTATGAAAATTAAACGGCACGATTCAATCCCATTTAGCAAACAATCTGTACGTTTAATAGTGCTAGACGATTCAGCATAAAAACGATAAATACGACATGACAATCCAGTGAGTAAGGGCTGGTCATAGCCAATATTATTAAGTCTCAATATTACAACACTCAAGATAAAAAGATACGATAACAAGCATGCACAATCAATCATAACTTCTTAAGCTAGACTATCACGCTGAACAATCACAACCTATCACGCTAAACTAAGTCTCGACGAGGTGGAATATAAGGGAGGACAGTAAACGATGGGAAGTCGATCCTGCACAACAATTAAAATAGAACCCACATAAGAGTTAACTACGGTTCAGTTGCAACAAGGTTGTCGAAACAAACGCTACGGAAAAACTCTGCTCTAAAAATGTGAATCGGTACATGCCAGAGATAACAAAAAGCGGCTCGGACTATGACGACGTCCGAATGTGTCCACTTACTTAATAGCAGTAGCATTAACTGCAAGAAGCTAAAACAGAAAGAAAACAGAAACAGAAACGTAACACAGCGGGATTAGGAAACGTTCGGTGTTGGAACGTAAGGGAAGGAAATCGACAGCTTGTCATTTGCAGGGAATCACGTAGACGTTATGGAAGGAAACCGGCAGCTAAGGCTGAGGCTAGCTGAGCGTAAATTAGGTGAAAGGCTGAGACTATCTGCGTGTGAATTAGGTGAAGCAGCAGACGTGACTGAGCGGCAGGAAGACAACAACATAGTTAAGAAAACTGACGAGAGAGAGGTTTGATGCGGATACATAAACGCCAGTGTCTGAAGCAGCAAGGAAAGAGGACAGGGAAAGGGAAGGAGTCTCATCACTTGGACTGACGAGAAATGAGTGAGGGCGGGCCAGAAAAAAAAACAACTACATCGGAAAATACAACCAGTCTGGGAAAATCGGTTGCAAATACGTAATGCAACCACTGAACACTGGGTGAATGAGAATAAGCGGTCAGATAAAATAAACGAAAATAAACATGAATTATCCTAAAACTGCTCACAACCACACATGCCAGCGAATATCTTTCTGGGGGTGTCAAAGGTGTGCGGTTCGGAGGAGAAGGAGCGACTCGAAAATGAAGGGTGGGGGAATCAGGCAAAGAACTGAAGCAAAAAAAATACCTGATTGGCTCGAATTATCCAGTGCAGCAAAAACTGCCTGATTCTGTAGATTCGTGGTGCAACATGATTGGGCGTTGAGAGCTGCCCAATCGTCAGTTCGCGCTGGCGGATGGCGTTGCTGCCTTGTAATCTGCCAGCGCGACAAATTTTGGCAGCTGGGCAGCAATGCTATCACACAACTCGGTATTGCAGGTTCATGAATCTCAAAGCGCCTCGGAAAGTTGATTCACAACTCATTCACAAATATTTCTCGTTACAGTAGCATTTGTTTATGGTCCCTTCTTTGTCAACACTTCTTTTGGGGTATAAAAATCATAGAATGGCCTTGCTATTGTAACAAAACATACCTGAACTAAGCAAAAAAACTGTTGCATGGTTTGTTTGGTCAGGTATATACGTGCATAAGAATATTTAAGAATTTTTATTATCGTCAATCGTTCTCAAAGTTCAAGTATAAATGTATATTTCAACTACACATCTATTTGTTGTAATGTACTAACCTAAAAGTACAGTCTCCTTTAAAGCACAGCAAATCAAGGCGACAAAGCTGAAGTTCTGGGCGCATATCTTGTTCAAATTGCAATTTATTGCATGTATGTGGAAAGACTCATTTCAATTACCTCGATTTATATTTCTATGAGCCCCGAATTAAAATAGTGGATGAAGAAAAGCATCAGTTGTTAGGTAGCTGACGAATATGAAGAAGAAATGTGTCACCTGTAAACTAGGGGAGTTATATTTATAGAATTTTGGTCATGTTTATACATGAGTTATTCATATTGCTAACAAAGCTTGAAAAAAAAAATCAAATCAGTTGAATCACTTACTCTTGTGTGGTTGACAAATATTCTATGTGAAACAACAATGGTAAAGTTCTTGGCAATAATTGATCGCTCTGTAAATGAGGCTTCTAAAGATATTGGGTTGAGTTTAAAACTTGTGAGGGACCTATACTCACGAGTATGAGATTGTCATACCATAAAAACAGAACAGTTTAATTATCCAATCCAGGGTATTTGACAAATGTGTGCATGTATGCGATGTAGCTGGTGCTCTTGCCATGTAAATGAATAATATCGTGAATGAGTTTTATTGGATATTGCAGATGTGTGCAACTTTGCTGATATTGGATCAAGTTTATATTACTGTGAAGAACCTATGTAAGTTGAATATTTGAATTTGACAGGAAACAATGTTAACAATATAATCATTCACTACTATATATATATATATACTTTACAAATCGTTGGGAAATAGTTAGTTCATAACAGCCACAAGAGACAGAATGCTGTCGATGATATAATCCAAAGGAAACATGATCAGGGTGTTCGATAGAACCATGTGCAACGTTTGTAGCTTGATATTTAAAATAGAAACTTGTACCGTAATATATTTTGATGCAACACATACACGGTGTATAAATACCTGTCAGTATATTTTTCCAGACATATCTTCTCTGAGGAAGAACATGCCGAAACGCAGGTGTAAGTTGTAAAGCATAAGCACAATTCCAAATGTTTGAAGCAGATTTGAAACTCTATAAACATCAAATACAAGTTAGATACAAAGGAATTTTGTAACTGTTACCAACTATTCACTTGGGTTTTTGAGTGTACAGCCTCAACTGCCGAAGCGACAGGTTTTGGTCTCCAAACCAGCACCTCCTCAGGAGGGGATTGGTTGGATGTAAAGGTCTACGTGTGAGTTACTTCGAACTGAACGTACGGGTTGCGTCCCGAACCTGGAAAGCTGCGACAAGGTAACTGCAGAGACACCTGACATACCCCCAAACCACCTCCCTCGAAAGTTGACTTTTTCGAACATACTTCTGGAGCCCACAATTTTTGAGATGCATGACTCGGGGAGGAGAGCGCGCAACGAGGGGAAGCGCTCGTGACGAGAAGGCGCGTGCGCGAGAAGCGGAAATGTGCGCGACGAAGCGATAGGCGCGAGACGAGGGGACACGCGCGTGACGAAGGGAAACGAGCGTGACGAAGGGAAATACGCGTGATGAAGGGAAACGCGCGTGACGACGGGAAACGCGCGTGACGAAGGGAAACGCGCGTGACAAAGGGAAACGCACGTGACGAAGCCCTAACGCGCGTGACGAAGGGAAACGCGCGTGAAGAAGGGGAGCGCGGGTGACGAATTGAAACGCGTGACGAGGGGAGGCATTCTATCCCGGCCACCGCGCGAGTGACGAGGGCGGGCGCGAGTGACGAGGGAGAGCGCGAGTGGCGAGGGGGAGCGCGGGTGATGACTCGCGCTAAACGTGGGGTAGAATGGAGTCGCACTCGTTTAGCTCAGACGTATGTAAATATCTTGTGAGACACTAGGCTTGTGCTGCCCAGCTATTGACGAAACAGCATGCGTGACGTGAGTTGCCGTAAAAATCGCGGTCACGTGGTACTTGCTGATGGCGCACTGGCTTACTACTTACGTGAGAGCCTAGGCCGGTCATGGGTACTACTAGGTGATCAAGATATGTGTGAGCCAAACAGCGGGCCAACATGAGCGACGCTCGGTTCCGTTTTGCGATTCTGCACAAAGGCCAATGAGGAGAGAGTGTCTCAAGGCGTTGTCCAGGGTCGCGAGAGTTCCTTTTGACAAAAGTAGGGTAACCCTGTTTTTGACGATTTCATGTTCAAGAATCTTGAACTTGAAAATAACCATGCTGTACCCAGGCTTTAAGTGAAGTTTTGCTAAGCTGTCCATAGTGTTACCGTACAAAGAATCCTGGAGAGAAGTTGTGAACGGGGAAAAGGAGCCAGCAGGGCAAGGGAGGTTGGGTAGTTGGGTCTGTGTGGTGGGAACTGGTGGGATAAGAGTTTGCTATGGTGTTTTTGTGTGTGTATTTGTTACAATGTCTTGGCTGTTGTGATGATACTACAAGTGAGATGCCTTTCGCTTGCACAATAATCAAAACACGCCTCACGGAATTCATACCTGTATTGCCTCTCACCCACCATCATTCCTATCCATTGAACCACATACCGTCAGTGTTAAACTAGTTCTAGAACCTAGGAGGCATGGAAACCCTAGGTGCTAGGAAGGTGGTTTACGAGAGTGTCGAGAGAAGAAAGTTGGCCAACAAAAGAGGTTGTTCACTATAGAGCGAACAGTACAAATAGGCAAGAATCAAGAAAGGTGCACCACCAAACAGAGATTGATATGACTACAGTATTCTACACTACAGGCAGTTATAGAACAATATATAAAACTATATATTATTCTGACATGCCCCATAAGTGCCTGTAGGGAAGAATATGCAATCAACGCCCCCATAATGGGGTACACCAGACAGAGTGCAGCGGAAGAAACAGTGGCAGGCAAAAGCAGTGATAGCC